AATTTTAGAAGATTAGTCTATGCTTTATAGACTACAGCAAAGCCTTTGACTTTGTGGATCACAAGAAGCTATGGATGCTCCTGAAAGAATGGATATGCCTTAGAACTCAGTTGTCCTGATGTGTAGGACAAGAAGCTACTGTTAGGATAGAATATGGAAAAACTGAATGGTTTCCTATAGGCAAAGTCATCAGACAAGGGTGTATTTTATCTCCTTACCTATTCAGTCTCTACCTACAACCTGTCATAAGGAAAGCTGGATTAGGATCAGAGCAAGAAGGAATGAAAATTGGTATCAGTAATCATATGATACCAGCTTACTGACAGAAAGCAGCAGTGAATTGAAAAGAAATAATGAAAATGAAAGAAAGTGCAAAAGCAGGTCTGCAGCTTGAATATGAAGAAAACAGAAATCATGAGTACAGAAAAATTACACGACTTTACAGTGAACACTGAAAAAAATTGAAATTGTGAAATTCCTTTCTTAATATCAATTAAGAAATAGATTACATCCAAGAAATTAGAAACTTGGACCATAAGGAAGGCTGAGTGCCAAAGAATTGAAGCCTTTGAATTGTGGTGCTGGAGGAGACTCCTGCGAGTCCCTTGGACTGCGAGGCGATCAAACTGGTCAGTCCTAGAGGAGATCAACCCTCACTGCTCTTTAGAAGGCCAGATACTGAAGGTGAAACTCAAATACTCTGGCCACCTAATGAGAAGAAAGGACTCACTGGAGAAGAGCCTAATGCTGGGAACAATAGATGGCAAAAGAAGAAGGGGACGGCAGAGGATGAGGTGGCTAGATGGAGTCACTGAAGTACTTGGTGTGAGCTTAAGTGGACTCCGGGGGATGGTGGAGGACAGGAAGGCCTGGAGGAATGTTGCCCATGGGGTCGTGATGGGTCGGACACGACTTCGCGACTAACAACAACAACAGATAATTGGAAGGGCAGCAATGAGGGAACTAGAAAAGGTCACAGAGTGTAAGGGTGCTTCACAGGCAGCCAAAGCTAAATCATCCACACTATTTATTACCAATCATTATGTATGGGGGCAAAAGTTGGACAGTGTAGAAAAAGTTGCAGAAAACTGACAGCAAGAAAAGCGATGCGTTTGAAACATGGTGCTGGAACGAAGTTCAAGTTGTAATCTGAGAGGATGTACCTATCAGGGCAGGATACGCAGCAAGGTGAGCTACGTGGCAAGATGCAGGAGACGGCAGGAACCAATTGCAGCAAGGATCAGGCAAGACGCAGGAGCTGAACCACAGCCAGAAGACAAACCTGCATTGCTGAGACAACATGACCAGGCAAGATACGCAGCATAGCAGGATACAAATAGCAAGGCAGCATACGAGTCAGGCAAAGGGTGGGCACAAGAGCATGGCAAGGCAGCAAGATGCAAGAACCAGGAACAGGAAAGGTCAGGTAGGCTGCAGGCACACCAGCAAACAGGAAAGCCTGTCACTGAGGCCCATTTGGAGGGAATAGCTTGTTCTTAGATACGAGTAGTTCTTCCCCCAGGAATCCCAGCCGGTACTCATCACTGGGCTGTGAGCTTCGGCAGGGCCTTGGACCAATCCTGCAAATATGGTGGTGATCGCTCTGACTCTGGCCACCAGAGCACCTAGATCAGATCTAGCCAGAACTGGCCCTGAAAGCAGAAATGGCAGTGCTGCAGCTGTCATACTTTGGGCACACCATGAGAAGGCAAGACTGCCTGGAGAAGACCATCCTGCTAGGGAAAGTTGAAGACAGAAGAAGAGGAAGACCAACTACAAAATGATTAATTCCATAAAGGTGGCCAAAACCTTGAATTACAAGGGCTGAAGAGGACTGTGAAAGGGCAATTAGGAGAGCATTTATTCATGTGGCTGCTGTAACTCAGAGACATCTTGACAGCACATAACAGCAACAGGGGTTTTAACAGATTTTGATGTGCTACTTTATTCAAAGTCTACACCAGGATGGAGTCTTATTTCTGAATTACACCATCTGTTGTTTCAGGATAGCAACACTCAGACTTGAAAATTTTTGAAAGTCCTTTGGCAGAGGTGGGGGTGTGAGGAGACCAGAGATCCGTATTAGTGCAAACCTTAAGGGGTCAGTCCTTTGACAGCTTAGATGCCAGATCATATATATTATCACACCAGTATTGATATTTCAAGTCTTCTTGGTTTGATTTTTTGAGTGGTTCTCATTTAGAGTACAACGCTAACGGGCAGCTTTCAAACAATCAATCAATCAGTCAATCAAATAAATAAATAGTGTATGGTATGTCAGAGCCTTCATTAATGTTACAGTATTAGGACATTACTCCTGTATTTTTAGATACCATATCTTTGGGGCATTTGACCCAGTCACAATATACCATACATTTAGAAACACAGGCAAACTGAGCCTTTGCCTTATAGTCATCTTCTAATTTACAAACTTTTAGTAGTAACAGAAGTTGCAGGGACAGCATCAGGAAGGCTAAAGCAGGAAATAAACTGAGAATAGCAAGGGGTGCTAAGAACAACAACATCTTCAGATACATACAGAACAAAATACATGAGAAAGAGAAGGGTGTCCAGCTACTTAAAGTGGATGGCAGAGTGATAACAGATGTCAAGGGAAAGGCAGAGGCACTCAATTCCTACTTCGCCTTAGTCTTCTCCCACAAGAAAATCTACAACCAAGAGGAAGTACAAGCTGAAAGTGAGAGATGGCAGCCCAAGATTGACAGATAAATGGTCAAGTAATACCTAGATGGAATAAACATGTTCAGATCTTCAGGGCCCAGTGAACTCCATCCCAGAGTCATAAAAGACCAGCGGAAGAACTCTCAGAACCAGTGGCTATTATCTTCGATAAATCTTGGAAAACAGAAGTCCCAGACTGGAGAAGGGCTAATGTTGTCCTTATCTTCAAAAAGGGGGAAAAGATACAAACCAGTTAGCCTGACATCAATCCCTGGAAAAATTCTGGAGCAAATTATTTAAAAATCTGTATGCAAGCATCTTGAAGAAAATGCAATGATTAACAGAAACCAACATGGATTTATCAAAAATAAATCCTGTCAGACTAATTTAATTTCATTTATTGACTGGGGTAACCTCCCAAACGGACAGAGGGAACACTGTGGACATAATCTACCTAGACTTTAGCAAAGCTTTTGACCTAGTGCCACACAACACTACACTGGTGGCCCCATCTTGGCTTGAATGGGGCCGTCTTTGATGAGTAAAGATGTGGTACGTTGTCCATTTGAGTGCCTTTATGTCACTGTGCTTAGATATGAGATCTGGATGTGGAAAACCCAGATTCAGATCTCTATTGACCTTTGACATTTATATGCTGGCCTTTGGCAAGTCACTATTTCTCAGCTGTTCTCAGCTGTATTTACATTACAGTGTAGTTATCAGGAGGATAAAATGAGATTACGTCAAGGTTTTTAGGCTAGAAAGCTTTGCCATACCCAGCAAAGTGTGGCAGAAGTTCTCCTTTCACGTAGAAATTCTCTTTAGCCTCATACAGCAGAAACCACTGGAAAGGAACTGGAACCAACTGCCTAGGTTCAGTGGTGGATTCCCTGTTCCTGGCATTGCAAGAAACTTGACAGCCACCTGTCCAGGGATGGTTTAAGCTGGATAGTTGCACTGAGCAAGAAATTGAACTTGATGGCCTAAATGGTCCATACCAGTTCTGTGATTAATAATTACCAGAGGAAAAGACGAGTGACAGGGGTTATCTTTTAAACCACTGCTCTATGAATCCTAGTAACAGTAAAGTCTACATTTATAACTAAAAGGAGGTCTTTGTTTCTCTAGGCCTTTTCAGGCATTGATTACAGTAGCTAGCTCACAGGGAAGCAAGGGGAGTTGCCGCATGCAAGCCCTGATGTCCAAGGCCCCTTGTGAAGGCCCCTGCCCTGCAGGTGTTGATAATCTATACCAAATAGCAGGGAGGAGCTTAACGGCACATGCAGCTTCGCAAGTGTAGCCTCACCATAGCGAAGGCCAGAGAGGGCATATCTGTCTCTTCATTTGCCTTCTCCACACTCATGCCTCTGTCTTGGAAGATACTTTCAACTGAAAGGCCTAATGGATTCTCCGAGCTGCCCAAAGCATGCACATGTCCCCAACATTCCTGTCATCTGGAAGCACTCACTGCCTCTCCTTTTCCTTGGATACAATTAATCAGGATGTCCTCTTAGGCAGTCCCTATTAATTTCATGGGAGCGTTCACAGAAGAACTTCCCAGTGACTGTTGTCCCTTTTCTCTAACATGAGAACAGTAAGCTACATCCAGCAGTTGTTATGAGAAAAATGAGAGATGGATTTTAAAAGTGCCTTTTCATTTGAAGATGCAAGTTCTTTCCCTTGTTCCTTGAAGTACAAGAAGGTGCTCTGTGAGCATCAGGTGTTTCCTTGAACATGTAGAGTTAGGTCTGTAGGGGATGCACAGAAAACCCGTTCCCAAGATAAGTGAGTTCTTCATCAGACCTGGCTGCATGTGTGGATATACATATTTGTAGCATTCCCTCTACCCACCCTTTTGGACAGCACACTGCCCACTGAATTTCACGATGAGGTTAGGACAGTGAACTTATGGCATCCACGGTTGCAAACAAATGCTGCTTGAAAGTGTAGTCGTGGCCCCAGGCTGATGGGGTAGGCACCAGCCTTTCTTTGCTGATGGCCAAAGGAAACCTATAGCTGCTATTACTGTAGCTTCTTGTTGGTTGTAATCATAATTGTCAGTATGATACCTGAGCCAAAGGGGATGTGGCTCCTGGTGGGTTTTTAGCATGCATTCTTTATGTTTTTCTTACTGCTGCTGGATTACTTGTGGGTACTGCAGCACAGCAGACGGGTTGATAAGATGTACAATGGAAAGATTTGAAGTTAAATAAGAAGATAAGCAGGAAAATTAGAAAGCATTTTGAGGAAGTGAGCTGCCACTAGATTTCTTAAGAATTCATTACTGAAATAGAAAATCTTCATATTCTGTTTGACAGGTTAGAAATCTCTGCTATATGGTGACGAGGCGAGAGAAAATGAAGCACTCCATTTGCAAGCTCCAGGAACAGATCTTTCATCTCCAGATGAAACTTATTGAGAAGGACCTTTATCCAGGTATGTCCTGCTGGGGTTTAGAAAACCTGGTGCCATAAGCTCGGTTATTGCTACTTCCTTGTGTGCCGTGCTTGTAAAGTCTGAAGAAGCAAGCAACCTTTTAAATTGTTTTTTTAATAGATAAATACTAGTGAGGCTGGACTTGAGCAGAAATATAGCCTTTCAACTTTGTTGGCTCCAGAAAAGGGTATACTGGCATTATACAAACCTGTAAAGATGGCTTCCGGTCAGAAATATATGGGAAAGGTCCATTTGTCTTGGTGAATGGGGATGTTTGTATGCGTTTAACAGAATAGTGTCTTTAACAGAATAGTGAGATATTGACAAAATGGTGTTTGGTGGAATAGAACCTCTTGACAGAGAACTAATTCACCTGTTACCATGTCATATTCCAGTCAGTCCTCAGAATATAACATTAGAAACAACTACATCAGCTTGTTTATTTCTGTCCTGATGTGGGCCATCACCAGGACCACGACAAGGGATAGGGTTAAACTCGCCCTCCCAATCTGCCATGGTCCCAGGTGTGATTCTCCACCCTACTTATAGTTATTTGTCTTTTGAAAAATCAGTCATGTTAAATGTATTCATACAGTTCAGCCCTGAAACCTGCAACCCACTCCAGTCCCTCTCCCTGTGGACACCAAAATGAGTTGCTTTTTTAATGTGGCACTCAGAGTATGCATTTTTCCACTTGCTTTGCATTGGCTTGATTTCTTCTGATGCTGAGGAATATTTGTCTATGAATTTCTAAAATGAAAACTGTGGTGTCTCAAATCTAGTTGATCTCTAGACCCAACACTAAACTCCAAAGGAGGAGAAAGGGAAGGGCTACTTTTCTTCCTCCCCCAAAACACCAAACAAAAAAAAGTATGTGCCTAATTTGAAGACAAGGTGGCCAGAAAGAGAACCTGTTACTTTTCTTGATATTATGGCCTGATGTTACTCATAGTATCACTCTTATAAAATACCTTTTGTCATAAAGAGGCATTTTCACCTAAAGCAGTGATGGCGAACCTTTTAGAGACCGAGTGCCCAAAATGCAACCCAAAACCCACTTATTTATTACAAAGTGCCAACACTGCAATAAAACCTGAATACTGAGGTTTTAGTTTAGCAAAAACAACTCCTACAGTAACATCCTTTATCTTAAAAGTAAAACACAATAGCAGAGCTTTCAATGAAACAAACAGCTTTTTATTGAAAGGTAAAAGTTTGCATCTGGTGTGCTTTTGCACAGTTATTGTGATCTTTGCTGTTGTATGCATGCTGATAATTTGTCAAACCTTGGCTCATATTTAGTTTGAGAGCAACACATGCAGCACTCAGGTCATCTGTTAGTCTGTTTCTTGTATCAGATTTGATATAATGTGTTAATAAAAATGAATGTATTAAAACTCACAGTCAGTCCAAGCATGCATGCATGCATGCATCTCTCTCTCTCTCCCCCTCCCTTCCTCCTTGGCAGCACACTGACTGGTCATGCGAAAGCTCGGACAAGTTGCAGCTAATGAGTTGTGGCTCGTGGCATCATTGCCTGGCGCTGCTACTCCTTTCAAAGGTCCCTGTGTGTGCTGTTATCCAATGCTCGGCTGCTGGGGCGACTTGGCTCGCGTGCCGACAGAGAGGGCTCTGCGTGCCCACTGCGGCACGTGTGCCATAGGTTCACCACCACTGACCTAAAGGCATTAAAAATGGTTCAACTGACCATCAGTTAATCAGTGATCAATTTAGGCTGAATCTAGAATACAAAACATGAGCAAACCTAAGTTTGTCAAAAAGAGTACATAGGCAATGCCAGTCATGATCCAGGAGGGTTCCACAAAGACACCACCTCTTAATTAGCCATGGCTATTTGAGAAGAGAACCAGCGTGGAATTTGTGTCTTCTGCGAATGGGAAAAAATATGCAAGCTCCTCTTTGTCATAGGTGACACACTCCTTCTGAACACAGAGTAAATAATCTGGTAACTGAGAGCAAGATATCAGGGCTACTTCTTTAATTTCTTGGCTTACATGAGAACCTGATATGTGGTACTGGCGACCTTGTACAAACAAGTCATCTATCACCTTTAAGGAACACTAACCACATTTGTCAGTAGTTAATTTTTGTTTATTTAACTCAGCCTGTGGTGGAATCTCTACAGAAGCCTCCTGTTCATTGGTGCCTTCTAACAGATTCTTTTTGCTGATCTTGGCCCTTGAGGTGCTAAAATGTTTGGGTTTTAGTGCTGCATTTGTTTCAGTTGCATTGTGTACAAGCAGTTGCATTAGCTTCTTGGCAACCACCTCTGGCTCTGTTAAAGATCAAAGGTTAAACCACTGCTGAAAGTATCTTTTGCTCTTATATGCTTTTAGCTTTACCTGCAAAATAAGTCACCATACCTCTTCATAATACATAAACATCTGAAGATTATTTTAAATGAACGCAAACTCAATTGATTTATTTAAAACACAGTCGAAGAATTAAAAATACAAAGTTACTGTTGGGTTGACATCTTCTAATTTTTATATGTTTATTTTATTTTATTTATTTTTGCAATGAGGGAACAGAAATTGGAACTCAAAGATGTATTGCATTTTCCCCAGGAGGAGTGCCTGCCTTTTTGTCAGAGCTTTCAGGCCGTTGTGTTTGTGGCTTTGGAGCCTTCTCAGACTGCATCATGTGGTCAGGGTTTCCTTAGGACTGTCTGGACCACATTCCCTTTTGCTGAAAGCTTTCCCTTGAGTTAAAATTTGACGACCTAAAATGTGTGCACTGAAAAATCTGGCTTTGAATCTCTTGATCGTGATACAAACTTGCTTAGTGTACGGAAGGGAAGATACCATAACCTCATTCAATATGCCCAAATCAGAGGCAGGCAGAGGGAAGGGTAGAAAAATCTCACTGCTCACTACATAAGATGACATCTTAAAGACTACACTTAAAGTTTAATTTTTGATCAAAGGTCCTCCAAGGTTGCAAAGCTGTTGAGCTTACTATGTGTTGAGTTAGTTATATTGCAGTTAAGAACTAAAATACAAAAGAAAGTCTTTTGTCCCCCCTGCCCAAAATACAGGTAACAAAAAATATCCTTATGGAAACTTCAGTACACTAAAATGCTGGCATGTGAGAATTTGTGTTTGCATATTTTGAGTGCTTCCCGTGGGGGCCCCAGAACGGATCCTCTGCTTCAGTATTGTAATTCTGCAGAAGGTGTTGTTTTGAATGGACACTTGGGCCCATAAGACTTAGGAAATCCATTGTGCATTCACATGTTATGTTGCCATACCTGTTCAATCCTAGCTTCCGCATGAGGGCAGCCATCTCCAACCTGGTGCCCTCCAAATGTGCTGGACTGCAGCTTCCATCCTTCCTGCCCAGCATTTCCCTTGCTGGGAGCACTGAATCAAGGAGTTCTCTTAGGAACTCTGGGCTTGAATGCGAAACTGAAATCCGTTCCAGTGAAGAGGGCTGAATTTTTCTTTTTAATTAGGTCAGAGCCAAACTTAGAAATGAGTTTATTCTTCTCCATTGTCTCTGTGCATCACACATACGGGCTCTACACACATGCATGGAGCCTGCTTGGGAAGATTCCAAAGCTAATTAATTAGCATGCAGCAGGAGCCTGTCCTCTGGGCACACCCCGGTGTGAGGGAGGGGCTTCCACCAGGTCCTCAGTTCTTCCACCATTGTGGGTTCATGGGGAAGTTCCTCTTCTGGTCCTCATGGCCATTGAGTTCTGTCCAACTAACACCTTTGCTTCTCAAGCGCTTTTTTTATCTCTTTCCCATTCATATATAGGAAATACGCACGCACGCACACACAATCATATTTGTTATATTCATATTTTGCCCTGCTTTCCCCTACCACCTACACCTCATGTTCTCCCCTCCCTGCCCCTTGTTTCACCTTCCCAACCCCACAATGATGCTCAGAGTTCCATTTAGAAACTGCTTGCGCTGTGACAGCAGACAACCACTGACCAGTGGACTCTCGCTCTGTTTTTTCTGCCTTGGAGTGACCCACGTAGTGGAGTCCTGCTGCCACTGCCAGGCATTACCAAACAGGCCTGAAAACACAGAGCTGACTGCCTGAAAGGGGGGCTCTGGAGCAGAGCCCTCCACAGGACTGCCCCCCCCCCCCCACTGAAACATCCGTCATCATCAATGGCCCAACATCTTCCACAGCAGCAGCAGAACCCTGTTTGGCTGCTCCCTGGGCAGCCAGTTGTCAAAGACCACCAAGGCCAAGAAATTGGTGAAAAAGGTGAGGGTCTCCAAAATGGCTGGCATGGCAAAAACTAAAGATGGCGGCAAGCGCTCTTAAGACCAAACGCCATGACAAGATGCCCTCTACCAGCAACCCACATATCTTTGATACAGAGTATGAGCCTGATCCTGAGCACCATTCTTCACTGGCACTGAGAAACACTCAAGAGACCACAGCACCGATGTGCCAGGCAGCCCTTACTATATTGTTTTTGAAGGGCAAGATAAGGGCGCTTTCTCCACCAAGGCAACTGGTGCCAGGACCAATGCATGCCCGTCCTCCCATCAGTGATCCCAAGCAAGGCCCACTTCATTGGACCTGACCAGCACAGGTTCTGCTCATACCTGCCCATCTCTGAGTGGGACCACCGACCTGAATGGTCGATGCTCCCATACAGGAGGGCTACAGCAGAGGCTTTTACTATGATCACTGGGCCTTCTTTGTCTTTAGATATCCAGAGCAGTGCACAGGATCACAGATTGCTCTGACAGAGCCCTAATACACGCCGAGGCCCCTCAGCTCTAACCAAGACATCTGTATTGAGACCATCAGAGACACCAGGACCCAGTGTTCACCACCACACATCTAGCTTCCATGGTACTCCTTGCTGGTTCCGGGCCCATTAACTTCCAGGCCTAGATCCTTGCAATTCATGACCTTTTGCCCTATGGTTTACAAATGTCTCAGGACTCACATACTTATTTTTGCCAACTGACAATCATATTTTAAGCATATAATGAACTCTAGTC